AGACACGAGACATCCAGATTATGATTACCTACATTAAAATACACAATTTAATGAATTTTTTGAATTTTTCAGACCTTTGGTTGATCATAACAATGAGAAAACGTACCAAAATTATCGTATTCCTCCATTGTTATGGGTGTGTAGACTCCGCCCAGACACGAGACATCCAGATTATGATTACCTACATTAAAATACACAATTTAATGAATTTTTTGAATTTTTCAGACCTTTGGTTGATCATAACAATGAGAAAACGTACCAAAATTATCATATTCCTCCATTGTTATGGGTGTGTGGACTCCGCCCAGACACGAGACATTCAGATTATGATTACCTACATTAAAATACACAATTAAATGAATTTTTTGAATTTGTCAGACCTTTAGTTGATCATAACAATGAGAAAACGTACCAAAATTATCGTATTTCTTCATTGTTATGGGTGTGTGGACTCCGCCCAGACAAGAGACATCCAGATTATGATTACCTACATTAAAATACACAATTTAATGAATTTTTTGTCCATGTCAGACCTTTGGTTGATTATAACAATGAGAAAACGTACTAAAATTATCGTATTCCTCCATTGTTATGGGTGTGTGGACTCCGCCCAGACACGAGACATTCAGATTATGATTACCTACATTAAAATACACAATTTAATGAATTTTTTGAATTTGTCAGACCTTTAGTTGATCATAACAATGAGAAAACGTACCAAAATTATCGTATTTCTCCATTGTTATGGGTGTGTGGACTCCGCCCAGACAAGAGACATCCAGATTATGATTACCTACATTAAAATACACAATTAAATGAATTTTTTGTCCATGTCAGACCTTTGGTTGATCATAACAATGAGAAAACGTACCAAAATTATCGTATTCCTCCATTGTTATGGGTGTGTGGACTCCGCCCAGACACGAGACATCCAGATTATGATTACCTACATTAAAATACACAATTAAATGAATTTTTTGTCCATGTCAGACCTTTGGTTGATCATAACAATGAGAAAACGTACCAAAATTATCGTATTCCTCCATTGTTATGGGTGTGTGGACTCCGCCCAGACAAGAGACATTCAGATTATGATTACCTACATTAAAATACACAATTTAATGAATTTTTTGTCCATGTCAGACCTTTGGTTGATTATAACAATGAGAAAACGTACCAAAATTGTCGTATTTCTCCATTGTTATGGGTGTGTGGACTCCGCCCAGACAAGAGACATTCAGATTATGATTACCTACATTAAAATACACAATTTAATGAATTTTTTGTCCATGTCAGACCTTTGGTTGATTATAACAATGAGAAAACGTACCAAAATTGTCGTATTTCTCCATTGTTATGGGTGTGTGGACTCCGCCCAGACAAGAGACATCCAGATTATGATTACCTACATTAAAATACACAATTTAATGAATTTTTTGTCCATGTCAGACCTTTGGTTGATCATAACAATGAGAAAACGTACCAAAATTATCGTATTCCTCCATTGTTATGGGTGTGCATAGGCGGCTGCAGGGTCGGGCATTTAGGGGCAATGCCCGACCAAAAATTCTGACCGGAAGTGTGACATCACCATAATTAATAGTTATTCTATGGTTAATTAATAGTTAATAACAGTTATTGCAATTATAATTTCAATTTTTTATGAAAATCTTATAATTATGAATGCATAAATGGCAGGCTCATAACAAGGTGATGAAGAGAGACTAAATAAAGGAGGAGGTGGTAAGACTTTGGTGCCAATCACAGTGGGCCACCACAGCAACACTAGAAAGCATAATCATTTCATTATTTAGTGCTATTTCAGTGTTCTTTTCTTGTCAGTTGCAATGTCTAAAAGCCTGGACTAGCTTCACTATGTCCTTTGTGAACAAGCCTGCTAAAAAGGAACAACAGTTTACAAAGTGAACCTAGTAAGTACAGTATAGAAGTCAATAATACATATTATCTCATAATTCTTACTTTAGGTCAGTCTCTTGCTGAATCAGTTGATGATCATGAGTCCGCTCAGTCTACTCTTGTGGTGGATACAGCTACAGTTTTTACAGCTACAGTTGATGTACAGTCAATTGTTGCTCATTCTCCATCACCCTATTCTTCTACTTCCTCTACTAATACTACTACTAGTACTATTACCACTACAGAAGTCAGTGTTGGAGCTACACCACCCACTACTTTATTACAATAACCTTCGCTACCAAAAAATTGCGCTAAAAAGGGTGCGTAAAAGAGGGTGTGGCCAAAATCACGGCGCGCTTCGCGCGCCCAACCCATTTCCTGTGCCACACCCATGCCCGACTAGTAGTCAAATCCTGCAGCCGCCTATGTGGGTGTGTGGACTCCGCCCAGACAAGAGACATTCAGATTATGATTACTTACATTAAAATACACAATTTAATGAATTTTTCGTCCATTTCAGACCATTTGATGCTAATTAACAATGGGGTGTAGAGTCAAACAAGTGTCATCATCAGTTTTG